TTGACAGGCTGCAGCCTTGTGTGACATTTATGGCAAATCCATTCTTGAATGTGGATATAATAAGTATATATAAGTGAGGTGAGGTCAGATGGCTGAAATTAATTTGCATTGATCCTGTGGAAACGGAAATAGAAATTATTAATATTCAAACTAATGTGTCCCGGCATCTTAAGCCCCAGTAAAATTTAGATCAGAGGTCTTCAACAGGGGGTCCGTGAACCCTAGGGGGGCCCTGGAGGTACTGCATGGGGGTCGTGAAAGTTTTGGTTTATTCAAAATTTTTGTTTATATTCTCCCCTGTAATTTTTTCCACTAATTGAAATGCCTTTAAAAATACATTAACATGAATTCAACACACTGGAGTAAAAAGATAAATGGAGGCAGAAGATGTCTTTCAGTCATCAATGCACACATTCAGCAACACACAGGAGCTCTTTCAAGGTGGGCACCGTTTCACTCACAACACCTGTCCAATCAACTAGGAATCAGAAATATTTTAATAATCCCAGGGAGAAATTACTTTAATTACATTACTCCGTCTGTAGTGGAGTGTCTATAGGACCAGTTTGATACAATATTCAGGGGTCCCCGCTCCATCTTGCCATGAGTTTGGGGGTCCTTGGCCTGGAAAACATTGAAGAACCCTGATTTAGATAATTTCTGGAGCCTTATTAAATTAATATAAAATCTTAATAAGATGGCAAAAATGTGTGCTTTATTAAGTCTACTTACCTTTATCAATCAGTTGTTTCTAACATGACTGTTCTCAAATCCAAGTACACGACTGACTGATTAACAACACCCAATACTGCTATGCACATATTCATACATCTATGCCATTTGAAATATTTAATGGTTCTACATAATCTATACATTGAACATGTTGAGCAGTTGATCCTTTTTCTTTGAATACAGATTATACACCTAAATAGCTGCTTAGAAAAACTGTCCCGAAGAATTTAAAGACTAATCCTTAAAGAGCATGAGATCTATTTGTACAGTTTTTATTAATATATTGTTGTGCAGAATTATTTGCTGTATGTTTCTTGTCAGTTTTTGGTTAGACATAGACTTAGACTTCTTTATTTGTCATTTTGTATGCATAGAGTGCATACAGAACGAAATTGCGTTACATACAGCTTATGAACATTGCATTGATATTTCAAATGAGATGGAATACCTTTCCGGATTGTTACACACGAGTTATACAAAAAGTGCAGCAGTGGTCAAAGTGTAAACAGTGCAGTGGATAAAGACAGTGTGCAAACTGCAATGGTTCAGTGCAGATAGGCATTTGTGCAAAAATGCGTTAGAAATGAGATGAACTTAAAGGGCTAAAAGTTAAAACGTTCAGCAGCATTTGATACCCGATAATGTGCAATAGGTGCAGAGTTTGGTTTATGGATCCGCAGGAAGTACAAGCGCTTCTGTGCCCTCTTCACAAAAGATGAAGTGTTTACAGTCCAGGAACTTTGTGCTGCTGACCACCTCCACAGCTGAGCTGTTGATGAGCAGTGGAGCATGGTGGGGCCGGTTCTTCCTGAAGTCGACGATGATCTCCTTCGTCTTCTCCACGTTCAGGATCAGACTGTTGTCACTGCACCAGCCCACCAGCTGCTCCACCTCCTCTCTGTAGTCCTGGTCGTTGTCGTCCCTGATG